GCGAGAATGTTTGTGTTTTATTCTTCCATAAAGCTTTAGACTGGTCGTTGATAAGAAAATTCCATTGGTTTGGACGATTAGTAGTGCAAATAAATCTCTGGGTTATGTCCTAACCAGAGCTTCCCTCAACGATGGGCTTTTGAGGTTTAACCAGACTAGTTAATTGAGTTGCATTGGAGCGCCTCTATTTGCTCAAACATGTTGCATATGACTCTGTAAATGGAGGAACATAATGCACATCAGGATGAAATTCTACATGCTATGGAAGTTGGTACTAGTCACAATTTTCTATGGTCATGCTTGGTTAAACTTTTAGCATTTGACTTTTATTGTCAAATGGAAGGCTGCAATCTCTATTGGAATTTGAGTTTTCATGTCACATCTAGAGTTAGTGGCCAAAATTTTGGTTTCAATGGGGTTTTCACAATTTACACTTATTACTTAGAGACCTGAAACATTTAAGATTTATGAAGCATTGATACTTCGTTCATGGTGACATATTCGATGCGTATCGGATATTTGATATGTGTTAGATACTTTTTGTACGTATCGAGTAATTAATAAAATATTTATTATTGTTAAATACTTGTCGGATACACCTTGGATACGTGTATCTCCACGGTGGATACATTCGCCTCATACTTAGTGAGGTGGATTGTGTAGAAACCATGAATTATATAAATGGGGATTTGTTTTTTTAAGACGTTCATTCGGATGTACATCACATATGTCACAAGATTCGTGAAGTCTTTATAATTTGTTTGCCTAAATAATGAGTTTTTATGACTCATGTCAAAGCCATTGAAGTTTGTTGAAATTAAAAGTAAAAGTTGAGGACTCTCGGATGATGGAAATTGAATGTATTCAGGTTCTAAAGATGGCACGGTAAAGAACTGGGATTTGAGGTACATTAATTATCATGCATAAAATGTAGTCTTTTTTTTTTCAACATTATTAAATAGGAATTATATCTATTCTCCTTTGGAATCAAAGCAGGGCTCCGGGTTGTCAGAGGGAATATGAGAGTCGGGCAGGTGTTAATACTGTTGTTTGGCACCCAAATTAGGTCATGTAACTGATCATTCGTGTAACATGGTTTTCAATTGGTTTTATGGATGTAAACTTTTTTCACCTTGCCTAAGGATTTTTTTAAATTAAATGTGGCCTTATTGTATTGTTGTTTGCGAGTACAAATTGTTGGAAATTTTAATTGCATCTTCCGCTAAGGTATACACTAACTCACATGTTTGTCGATCTAAGTAGACGATGGAATCCTAGAAAACTGGCCAATTATGACAACTTCTGGTTGTATTTGTAAAAACCTCTTAAAAGAACATGAAGAAGGATTTTGGTTCACAAACTTCTTTGAATTGGGTGGAAGTAAATGAAAGGATAATCACTTGATACGATTGTTAAGTTGTTTTGTACTCTAGTTGCACTTAGTCAGTTCATCAAACTGATTTATTCTGAATTGGGTGGAAGTAAATGAAAGGATAATCACTTGATACGATTTTTAAGTTGTTTTGTACTCTAGTTGCACATAGTCTGTTGATCAAATTGTGGCTGGTTTTCTATCAGGAGTTTGACTTCGCGAGCTCAGGATAAAGTTGACTTGGGTGTGAATGTTTTAGGTCTATGATTAAAGATGTCAAAATGACCAAGCATGCACTTTAAACTGGATGAGTAGAATGTTTAAAGCAGCTATGGCTCCATGTCATTCTGCTTTCTTCCCATGTGTTTAGTCAGTCTGTGTACAAAGTTATTAGAGCTTGAAGCAATAGGAACTAATAACTTTCTGTCCTTTTGCTACATGTTTCGAATTGGACTTTTAAATACTTTGTTACTGTTTTTGGGACTTCTCTACGCATTTAAGTAACATACAATGCTGCTTGAGGTCATTAGTCTAACATTCTTATCTAACAGTAGTTTTGAGCCATTGCAGACTGAATTGATATCTGGGGACCAAAATGGCAATATTCGGGTATGGGACTTGACGGGAAATTCATTAAGTTGTTAGTTGGTTTGGGCTGATGTTTTGTACCTTCACTACATATTGCATCTCCTGCGTAGACCAGAGTCACAATCAAAAGTTGATGAAGTGGTCTTTTGCTTATCTATGTTTTGTTGCTCTATATTTTGATAAGAAAATTTGTGCGCATTGATGGTCCCAAAACTTTGTTTCATTGTCTTGGTGAAAATCTATGGTTCTTTGTTATATTTTATTTGGTGGGTATGTGGATGTTTGCCTTCTGGTGCTCTCTCAATCTCTCTTAAAGAGGTAGGTATGTATCAAAATCTTTTTATTACCTATGGTGTAAACACAGTTGCCGGAGGTCGATACAGCTGTAAGGTTTTTGACAGTAATGTGGGATGGAAGCTTGGTCGTGGCCGCAAACAACCATGGAACATGCTATGTTTGGCGCTTGTTGGGAGGAACGCCAGTATTATTTTCACGAATATAAGTCTTAGATGTTATATTCATTGTAAGTTATGAAATTATTATTTAAAACTTATATTGTGTCCTATTGCAGACTATGACCAATTTTGAGCCACTTCATAAGTTGCAAGCTGATGATGGATATATTCTTAAGTGCCTCCTGTCACCTGAGTACTGTGAGCCCCATCAGTTAGATCTCTTGACTTGCTTTTCCCCCACCACTCTTTTTTTTTTTTCTCCAATATTTGCAGCTTTCATCCTATTGGTAGTAGTCTTAGTGTAGAGACATTTCTTTTTTGGATTCACTTTTTGAAATGGCTCTTTCTAGGTACCTAGCCACTGCATCTTGAGACCATACTGTGAAAATATGGAATGTAGATGGCTTCACCTTGGAGAAAACTTTAGTAGGTATGTATCAAAGCCTCATCCAAATGTTCACTCTGTTTTGTTTACTTTTTTTAGTTCTCATACTAGTTTTTTTTTTTGGGAGGGGGGAGGGGGAGGGGGAGGGGGGAAGGGGACATACTAGTGGCATCAATCTTATTGGTTTTCCCTGGACATCAACGTTGGGTTTGGGATTGTGTCTTTTCTGTAGATGGTGCTTATCTTATCACAGGTATGACTCTGGAAGTATGGGAAAACCTGAAAGCCAAGCGGTCCTCAGAACGAACACATTATTCATTATAAAGGAGTGAACAAACATATAACCAGGACCCAAATGATGGGTCCTTGGGTACATACAACCATTCAGAATAGCTTATTGCCTGCTATTTTATTCGGTTAGTTGCCACTGGGATTTTCTTATTTCAGCAAAGAGAAAAATTATCTAAATTGGGGAAAAGAATACCATTGCCCTATTTGTTGCTTATTAACGGAGGGTTTTGAGAGGGCAGACAGAGTATAGACTCTATAGACGTGATCTTTGGCACTAGTTGGCCAATATGGCTACCCTCCTATCTGAACCCGTAACCTTACCCAAAGATTTAGATCCAAGTTATAATGCCATTTATTCCACTTCATCTTTCTTTTTTTTTTTCTTTGTTTTGTTTGAGAATATCCACTTTATTGTAGATCATAGTTTTAGGTCTATTATGCTTTTGCACAGATGCAGCTCCTACATCCTACATACAACTTCAAGATGTAAGATTGCTAATATCATGTCGAATCTACTTACAATCCTAGATCACTTCTGTTTAAACAGCTGTTTTATCCTCTATGATATGATGGCTTTGAACCATCTCTTTCCTTGTTGAAAAGCACGATGACATATTGAAGTTATGCAGTTCAAAATCCAGTATCATTTGAATGTTCTATTTATGAAGTGAGGCTCATAAGATGTCTCAATGCTTGAGAAACCATTTTTATAGATTTTTGCTTTAGTCTAAAGGTGCTTTCAAACTATATGGGTTCCCCATCTGTCTCTGTTCAAAATATCTCGAGTTTTTATCTATGCAGCTTCTTCTGATACAACGGCAAGGCTTTGGTCTATGTCTACAGGGGAAGATATTAGAGTGTATGAAGGGCATCCTAAAGCCACAGTTTGCTGTGCTCTCAATGATGGGGCGGAACCCTCCTCATACTGAACCTGAAAAAAGGCTAATCTTTTATTGAGATGCAAAATCCTCCGGCACCATGTCATTGCACTTGCTTGCGCGCACATCTGCAAAATATGTTCGCTATGTCTGGGAGAGAAAATTCTGTACTTCTATGGTTATTTCCCGTTTTAGATTGCTGCTTGGGTTACCCCCCCCCCCCCCCTATTTTTTTTTTTTTTGTACAGATCTACAGTCTTGTCTGGGAATGCCGGTATCTTTTGGTCCCGTTGGAACCTGTACGGAGATCACTACATTGACAATAATTGATAGTTGAGGATTAGAAGTTGCTTGCTGAAACAGGGATGCAGTTGTTCTATTGTCATAGTGGTGCATTTCGTTTACTGGAATAATTATCCATTGTGATTATAATTGCAGTTAAAGAGGGAAAAAAATGGTTGATTTTGACGTAATTGGTATAATTGCTTTTGATCATAAAATAAAACATGCTTTTTTACTCTCTCTCTCTCTCTCTCCCTTTCTCTCATACACACATAGATCTCTCTCTCTCTCTCCCTTTCTCTCATACACACATAGATCTCTCTCCCTCTCTCTCATACACACATAGCTCAATATATGCATCCTGTAATTCAAGGGAGACGGACAACATCGAGTGGTTTCCACACAATAACGTACAGTGGTCTTACTTCCCAAGGATAACCCTCTTCGGTCACAACATAGTTCGGTGTCTCAATATCCTTGGTCTCAACTAGGCCTTAGATCACCCCTTCCCTTGGCCTGTTCACAAATTCCTTCTTTACAGTGGACTTCCTCCCCGAGTATAACCACACGGGGCCAAGCAATCATCATCTCGGCGGTCAACATAATAAGCCACAAGTCAAAATCTTATTGGTCCGTCAGTCTGCGCCCCATCATTTTATATCATATATTAGAGTTGAGAAAGATTATGCTTTGTTTCTTCTTTTCCGTTTTCATTGAGATCCCTTTGTGAATTAATATTTGAAAGCTTTATGGTGGTGGGGTGTTTAACTATACTGTCACTGAAATGTTCCTGTACTGGATACAAGCACTTGGAAATCTGTAGAAGTGGTAATCACTTATTGTCAGTTATCAAACTCTTAGACCTCCATTTTTCTCCTCCTTACAAACTACGAAGGATTTTGGAGTCAAGAGTTTTGGTGAAATTGGAGTGCAAGTCAACTCTTTTTTTTGAGTTGTTGTCGTCTTCTAGTGAGTCAAGCTTGCACTTTTTGTTGTATGTTATCTGTTTTTCGAATTATAAGTGGAGTTACAAGGATGAGATTACAAACCCTGTGCCTTGCAGATTCTTGGGGTGGAAAGGACAGCATCTCAGCAGGAAAATAAAGAAAGCATACTACAAGTTGGCATTACGGCTGCATCCTGATAAGAATCCCGGCGATGAGGTGAAAATTGATTCTTAATGAGGCTAAACCCTTCTACAATGATTTTGGGGTCCAGATTTCTTTGTTTTTTTTGGGTATAATTTCTAATTTCCAATCTTCTATCTGTAGGAGGCCAAGGAGAAATTTCAGCAACTGCAAAAGGTGATATCAATTCTTGGTGATGAGGAGAAATGGGCACTCTTTGATCAGGCTGGTTGTGTTGACGATGCAGTGAGGAATTGTTGAAAGATTTATTCTTTTTGCAATATAAGGTAAAATAACCAAGCTTGGGGGTGTTTGACTTTGGAGTAATTGAACACTGCTTTGGCCCATTTGATAGTCTTAGGATGTCATGGCCTCATTTCACCTTAAAATTCAATTGGTCAGCAAAATAGCTGTCCCTGCTGAAAGAGTTTCACACCACCCTGTTCAAGGAGAAGAATCCTGCTTGATGTTATTCCAGGAAAAGTGGAGAACTTTAGCATTACAAGGATGTGTCATCTGAAATGTAATGCGAGACAAAATGGATTAATTTATAGTGCTCCGAAAAATAGTCTGAATATTTTTTCCCCCTAATGGCAATTCGGCATGCCTTCTTAAGTCATCACATGTTTTTTTTTTTTACAGGACCTTGCAGGGGATGTTGTTCAGAATTTAAAGGAGTTTTTCCAAGTAATATACAAAAAGGTTAATTTGGATTGTTTGGTTTGTAGTGTGGTTGTTGTTGAAGTTAGAATCTTCATTCTCTGAATTTTGCAAGAACATATGTATTGATTGCAGGTTACTGAGGTTGATATTGAAGAGTTTGAAGCTAACTACAGAGGATCTGACTCGGAGAAAAGTGATTTGATTGATTTGTATGAGAAGTACAAGGGCAATATGAACAGGTATATCTGTCAATGGTTGATATGTTTCCTTATGGCTATCTATATGGACATTTTAATCAATTAAGAAACCCTTTTTAGTCTCATAGGTACTAAAATAAACTGCCCATAAAAGCTGTTTGACATGAAATTTGAATGATACCATTAAGATCAGAGAGTATACCAAGACATAGATATGACTACATATAAGGGAATATGGCAAACAACTAGTATGGTAGACAAAGAGCTGTTTAACATTTTAACATCTAAAATGATTTAGTTCCGCAGGCTTTTCTGTTCAATGCTATGCTCAGATGCCAAGTTGGATTCTCATCGATTCAAGGATAGTCTGGATGAGGCCATAGCTACAGGTGAGTGTTTTTATTGTCTTTTTATTCAGATGAATTTCGTCAAGCAACTGATTCGTTCTAGACTTTTAAACTAATATTGAATCCGATGTTGAGACCCCACTTGGAAGTATATCAGTACCCAATAGCTGTTCAGTGACACCATCTTCCAGACCCTATTGTTGAAATTAAATTATTCAATGATCTTTGCCATCTGATTGTATCTTGTTACTTTCCCTAGACTAAGCTAGGGCCACCTAGTGGTTGGCACCTGTCCGATTAAACATTTGCAGCTATAAAAATCGTCTCTGGTATTGAGGTTATGCCCTCCATGGAAATAACATCTGAAATTTTTGATGGTGTGTAGGGCTTTCAAAATACAATACGACACAATTAACTGACACGAATTAAACAGGTTTGAATGAGATCTTAACGGGTTTGGGTAATAAACGGGTTGACACGCCAAACACGTTTAATAAACAGATCGTGTTCAGGTAAGACCTGTCAAACAGTTTATTACACGTTTACCCGTTTAAATACAATTAATATAAGAATAAATTAATAATTATTTTAAAAAATTAGTAATAAAAAAAGAAGTAAAGAAATCAATAAAAAAAAGAAGTAAAGTAGTAGTTTAAAGACAAAAGATAGGAGACGAGGAGTACTTCAAGACAAAGGCAAACTAATGTCTTTTGTTTTTGTCCCACATTAAAAATGAGGGGAGATGAGGAAGGTTGAGTTGCCTATAAAAAGTAACGACATCTTATTTTTTTTTTTAAACCTTCAAGTCTTATTTTTATGAGATTTGGTTAAAAATTCCTCTTTTTTAATGTAAGTGTAATTGACAATAAAAAAAGTTAAGTATTAAAATTTGTTAAATTAATTTTTTAATAATTAAATAGGTTAAACGAGTTGTGTCATGTCACTCGTTTATTAAACAGGTCGTGTTCGTGTTGAGAATTTTTACCTATTTATTAAATGTGTCGTGTACAAATTTATATATTTTTCGTCCGTAATCTGTTTAACCTGACATATAACCGTTTGGTTTGTTATTGTTATTTATTCCTAGTGACACTAACTTTTCTCTCTCTATCTCTTTCTCTCTCTCAAACCCCTCATATAGGAGATCTGAAGCCAACGAAGGCATATAAGAAATGGGCTAAGCAAGTACCTGAAACAAAAACTCGTACAAGTCCTTTAAGACAGAGGCGGAAGTGAGCATCTCCGTTGTGGTTCTTGTTGAAATGATGAGTAATATCTTTATGCTTTGCTAATGAATTGGACCATATTTACTGCTTATCAAACTTTTTAACTCTCTTATAGATCAAAAAAAGAGTCAGTAAGATTTATATGCCATTATCTCAAAGCGCAAAAATGATAGAAGAGGCCAAGTTGATTCCATGTTATCCTCTTGGAAGAAAATCGAAAGTCCGAAGACGTCCAAAAATTTGAAAGGTAAGTAACTGCACTTGAAAGCATTGTGTGTTCTTTTTTCCTGTAAAAATTGAATCCTGTTCAACGTCTTCATGTATCTGTATTTGGCAGCTAATTATTTGCTGGTGTTAAGTCTTGCTTTCCAAGATCTTACAACCAGAAGGCTGTGTTTGGAAGATGTCCTAGAAGGTGTCAACTCTAATATAAATTTTAGGATTGGCAGGCACAAGATTGAAACCCATACCTTGGCCAAACTTTTTAAATAAGCATTCATTTAGAATCTCCATCTCAGCAACACATTGCTATCTATTGTTGCTAGGCCGCCTCCAGTTTTCCAGTTGGTGCAGTTCCTGCACTTCTACAACTTGCTTTGCATCCTTTGACAAATCTTTCGTAGGAAGTTCACTGTAAGGGAACCACGTCTCTCGCGCCTCCTGCCTACTCGAAGTTCTGGCAGCATGAATGCCAACGACACTCATCACAATCTTTTGCACTATCTTCATTATAACCTTAACAAAGAGAAAGATACTATGATAATAATGCAAGATACTACGATAACAATGCAGCCTACATTGACAGGTTAGAAAAGATCTGAGCATGTTTAAAGTTTACAAGCAAATTTATCACTTAGAGAAACTGTGAAAGCTAATAGCTTGCATTGACAGGTTAGAACAGAATTAAAAAAAAATGACAAACTAATCAAGTTGTATTGGGTGTGAATAAACTATAAAAATTCTCAAACTAATCTTACGTTCCATGATCCAACTAAGAACAAAATTTTTTACCAAGATCAAGATTCACGACATGTTGTGCAAATCATATAATTGCACTCTGGACATTCTAATACCCAATTGTATTCAAAAGAAGAGTCACCACACTTACTGACACATGAAATTCTGATTGCTCTTTTCAAGAAAAGTGAAAGGGTACGGACCATACTTGATGTTCAGGCAGAGATTTTCAAATGCATTTAGAATGAAAAAACTGATCATAATTGCGATAATGATAGATCTAGAATTTTAGATTTATTTCATTCTCACAATATTCACAATGAAATTTGTTTGATTGGTTATTATAGGGAGGATAGTTCAAGGTGAGACGATATTTGTCCCATATGTGGTTGAAAGTACGTGGGAGTGAAGCACAGCGGGAACATATACAGAACTCGCAAGTATCACACCCAAATCTAATCCCAGAGGAAGGAACTCCACATGCGTTGCACTTATACTTTGAACTTTCACTTTGAAACAAGGGATTCTTGTGAGCTTTATGTGCACCAACAAAATGAGATCTTTAATGTATAAAAGATTCAAATCGGCTTTCACATATCAAACAGTGGGATTTGACTATGGTACTCATAAAAAAAATTGATATCATGCTTCCAAATTTATTACTTTAAAAAATATTTTTATAATTTTTTAGGATTATTTTTTAATTAAAAAATTTATAAATTTTATGTGTATTTTTATCACTACTGCTAGTTTTTTTTTTATCATATTTGTGAATATTTTTACTATTATTTTTTTTGGTAAGTATATTTTTTCCACTATTGTAATGATTATTTTTATCATTTTTTTGAGTACCACAATAATAATAAAAGTATTTATAAATATGATAATAATAATCATAAATATAATAAATAAAAGTATGATACCCAATGTTTTTTATTTTTTTGATACCGTAGTCCCCAATAGTGGGGTGTGGATTTTATTGTCGGTGGCTGTAGTTGGTTGGACCAGATTTATTGTTGAATGTGAGCCAATCCCATCCAACAATTTGTTTCTTTCCAAAGCCTTTTTTTTTACTGGGTAAAGGTACGATAACTTTCTAGTATCGTTGGGAAAAACAATCCAAATCATAAATTTTAAATTAAATAATTTATAGTTGTTCATTAAAAAATAGTAAAATAAATAAAAATGCACACTTGACAAATTTTCATTGACCGAAAAGTGAAGGTGAAGTACAAAAATAATAGTTCAATGTCAAAAATTTTACAATTGAGAGTACAAAATGAAACAAAGAAATAGTTCAGGAGGATAAAATGTAATTTATCCCAATTATTGTCACTTGCACCAGAGTTGTTATGCCGGGGGACCATAACTTGGATTGTCGTACTCTCCTCTTTTATGAGCCGAAGTTTGTGGATGAGTTTTTTCGAATTATTTTTCACTCAGGTGATTTTAAAAAAAAATTATTAAAATATGATATGCTTTAAACTTATTTATTAAAGTATGTCATTTTTGAAAAAAATGGAGTTATTGACACTATTTATTTGATAAAAGGGGGATTGATGACTCTGCTTTTGTTAAAAAAACAGAGTCAACATTCTTGTTTTTAATGATTGGATGGAAAATATTATTTATTATTTTAGTTAAATGTCAAAAGAGGGTAGTAAGCTTTATGAATTCACTCTTAAAAGTGAGGTTTTTGACTCTACTATTTAAAAAGTGTCATAATTCAATAAATAAGTTTAAAAGAATAATATTTTAGTAAATTTGTTTCACAATTATGCACCCAACTTATCTAAAAATAACATAACTTGTTAGTATGAACGATATAACACTTTTGTTACAACTTGAATTGAGTTCGAATCAAACATAAAAAATCAGACTTTGTTACTACAGACTCGAGTGTTAGTATTACACAAAGAAAATATTTGATAATTATGTTTTGTCGTATAACATCGATAGATATTTGTTTTTTGTGTTTAAATTTAATGATGCAAGAAACACATATCGGTGAACTTCATGGCACGTCAATTAACAATAGGTTGCACTAGGATAAGGCTATGGTAGGTGGAGTGGTACCTTGTTAAAAATTAAATTTAATCATTGATTTTGATTTGAATGATACATAAGCAAAGATGTTGGCTTTTGATTTGACTTGAAGGATACATAATTATTGATCGAAATTCGCTTAATTTTTGTTAAACGAATTGGGATATGAATATATCTGTATAATAAAACACATAGGAGTTTGAAAGTTTATCCCAAATATATTTTTCTCCTTAAAAACATCACATCATCCAATTTTATCGCATGTATTATCATTTAACATTTGATTAATTTGTAATTTAACACAATAATAAGATACATAAGATTTTGAAAATTTATCTCCTATGCATTTTCTCTCCTAAAAATATCGTATCATTCAATTCTATCACACGTTCAATCATTTAATATTTGATTAATTTGTAATTTAATTTAATTTTTATTTCATACGTTGTTCGTACACGATAGTGTACACACTTCAAAAAAATTTTGTCGGGTTATACATTTTTAGAAAATTTAGACGCAATTTTTTAAAAAATAAGAGGTAAAATTAATTTTAAATGATGTAATGAAAGAAATGAAGAAATAAAAAATTATTACTTAGTATAGTAGGATCAATTTTTGAACGCTCGAATCTTATGTTTAATCATACCTTAGCTAATATATTCATATCATACATTCGCTAATATATTCATATGACCCAATAAGAACCCGAATAAAATTATACGTAGCCGTATATGTATTAAAGCACAAAAGCCATATCACCCACCCCTGTCCTGTCTCTGCCACTGCTACTTTTCCCCTTCTTTTTTTTTTTTTTCACTTTTTGTTGTTGAATTAGGTGCATAGATGACGAAATTAAATTAGAATTATTGGAATTGGGTGATTTATTGATGATACTGAACTGAAATTTAATAATAATTTGGTCAAATTTTTTATTGCTTGAGATAATTTTCTTCGGATCAAATCGAATTATTTGATCGGATATTTAATTATTAATAAATTCAAATTTTAGTCAGATTATTGATTCGGATTCGAATTCAATTTTTTTGACGGATTAGGATTCGGATTGATTGAGATCCGGCACGAATCCAATCTGTTGACAGGCATGAATGACGGAAGAAATATTATACTGTTTTAGAACTATTTTGTTTTCTTCGTACTGGTACAACTGTGAGTAGACAAAAATAGCAATTCTCCAACTAATCATACATTTCCAAATTCCCCCCGAGAGCAAATACTTTTACCAAGAGCAAGATTTAAATGATCTATCGCCACAACTTAAACAGATCGTATAATTACATTCTAGACATTCTAGATTATATAATCTATTCTGACCGCACTTACTACACTTGGAATACGGATTCTTTCTTTTAAGAAACATGAGACGGTGAGGGTGATCTCTAATTTGAACGGTGCCACCAAGCTTGTAGTTCGCCCAGAGATTCTCGACGCAGCTAGGATGAAATGACTGATCGCAATCGCGACAATGATATATCCAAAACATTGGATTTATTTCATCCTCACAATATTCACAATGAAACTCATCTGGATGGTCAAAATAAGGAGGATAGCTCAAGATGAGAGGATGTTTGTCCCATCTGTGATTGATAATATGTGGGAGTACAACACAACGGGTGCATATATAGAACTTGCATTTACGACATCCGAATCTAATCCCAGAGAAAGTAATGCCACATGCATTGCAATTATACCCCGAGCTTTCACTTTGAAACAAGGGGTGCTTGTGGGCTTTATGTGCATAAGCTTCATCAGCTAAACACGCACATTTGATGTCAAGAAAGAAGTCACATGTTTCACATCTGTAGCCGAATACATTGTGGAATGCTTGGCACAAGTTGCACTGAAAGGTATCATAGATCTTCTTCGAACAAGCCAAATAGAGCGGGTGTTCAAGGTGACTAGGATGTTGCAACTCCTCCGGTAAGTAGATACAACTTAAATGAAGACAGTAATTGCAATGACTACAGCTATAAAATGGACTGGAGATTGGTTGCACACAACAATTGCACAATATTTTTTCATCCTTTGTCTCATTGTGGCCTTGCACTTCGGAAAGAATTAGTGGATGCTCATGGCCAAAATATTCTACATCTGTTTCTCTTTCTCTCTCTTCAAGGTCTAATTGCTCCAAAAAAAAATTTATGATATCTCCGAAACCATCGGTCACCGGTAAATGGATCACATTGGAGTCGAGTAGTTCATCGACTTCATTCTCATCTTCACTCCCTCTGAAACCGTACAATTTAAAAATTAAAATTTAGTTAACAATTACAATATCATTGCAAAGAATTCATTAAACACGGGAAGGGGAACTTACCTAACACTCTCTGAATCTAAATATGAAGTTGCGCATTTTAGATGGACAAAGTATTTACATAGGCCACAGTAATAAGCCCAAGTATCTTCAACAATGAGCTTACGACATAAATTGCAGTAGTGTCTGAAATTGGTTAACTCGAGGTGTTCCTTGACAAGGACAAGAGGGTGCTTGTGATCACCAAGGTTGATGGTGCGAGGTAATGAAGCACAAGTTTTATGAATCCAAAAATGGCAAGTGTGACAAGCATAGGATGTGTCCATATCTTCACTGCCACAACCATTACAAAAGAACGATGCTGGTCTAGATATGGCAACCATTGGGTGCTCGTGACTTGTGTGCATAATCGTGCGTTCCTCTAAGAAGCATGAGATGCAAAGGTTAAATTTGCAAGAACTACAAAAGTAGTTGAACAGATCCAAATCTTGTCGACATGCATTACATATGTATGACGAAGAAGACGGATAAGGTGAACATCCATAGAGAGTGAGAAGGTGTTGGGGGTGCACAGGGTCATTAATTTCCTGGGGGAGTTCCGCACATCTTTTGTGGAGGAAGTAATCACATTGGCTACAACTATACATAGAGTCCTCTACGATTGGTTCCTCACACCCATAGCATATAATCCTCTCACTTTCAGCCTCTTGCACTTCTTTGAGAATCAGTGGATGGTCCTTATGGCTGAAATGTTGAAGCTCCATTTTCATGCAATGGGGGTTTGTTTGCACACAAATGGAAGCCAGCAAGAGAGAGGGAGAGAAGGTCGGGTTTTAAAGGGTAAGATACCACATGAGACTTCAACTTAAGTAGATGGATATGAACAACTACTAAAGGGTTTTATTTTTTAATTTCACTAGCAATATATTAAATGTCCACTTGTAAAAGAGTTGATTAAGATTAAACAATAATTTATTGAAAAACGTCGGTGATAATAATATATTAATAAATGCAAAATTTGTTTTGTTTAGATTTAGTGATGCAAGTAACAACCACCACACAGCCTATTGGTGAACTTCATGTCATATCGATTTGAAAAATATTATCGATAGGTGGCACTAATATATATAGCTAAAAACCCAAAGTTGTTCAACTATCAAGACTGAAGATAAGGTCATATTCATGTGCTGTTATTTTGAGTTTGAGTATTCGTTAATACTAATTTAATAGGGCTTTGGTCCATAAACTTTGTCTTTTGTTTTAATTTGATTCTTGAACTTTCAATTGTCTAAATTTGGTCTCTAAAAACAAATTTTTCTTAATTAACTCTTTCCATCAATTTTCACCGTCAGATCAGGTGGAGACTAGCCTAGTCTAATCTATTTTAGTGTTGATCTAATGGTGAAAATGTACGGAATGACTCAATTAAGACAAAATTTATAATTGAAGGACTAAATTGAAACAATTAAAAGCTTATGGACCAAATTGAAACTAAAAACAAACTTTAAAGACTAACTATGATTTTTACCTAATATCTATTTTATTAAACGTAATAAATACCTTGAAAATAATTCAATAATTTTATTAATCATGTCATGTATACCGATACCAATAATTTAATATCAAAGGATTAGGCGAAGAAAAGAATAGTCTTACCAAGTCTTTTCTTATAAATTGTTTCTACCCAAGCCTCTTCCATTTGTCAGGCTTTTCTAATAATTTGTTTCTTCCCAAGGCTTTTCTAATAATTTATTCTTTGTGCCTTACATATGCGTAAGCCACTTGACAACTTTTTCATTTGTTGGTCATTTTATATTGTTTTTTGGTGACCTAATTGATAATTATTGCTATTTTTTTTATTAATGGGACCCACAAACCACTCACATTGGAAAATTATGACCAAGTGAGGGCTGTAGAATTGATTAAATACTCACACACACATCCAAAGGTTGTCTGATGTGGGATATCCCCATAATTATTGTTATCTTGAATCATTGAATCTGCTGCAATGAATTGATTTCTTTATTCCATTACCATAAGCCACCCACCCTATTTTCTAATTTTTTTATTAAACATTATTAACAAGAGAAAGTGACAAGTTTAGAATTCTAGACATTAAAGATCAACAACTTGCTAGTTGTTTTATGTGGTTATAGGGACCTTACCCACAATTATTCCCGCTTTTAATCTTTGTTTATGCTCAAAATGAGTTGGCATTTAATTCTAAAACGCGTGGATTTCGAAGAGAGATTAAATATACATACTTAGACACATATGCATGTGTTTGTGCGTCTACATTAGACCATTTTTCAATAAAAACTCAAACTTTTATTTAAATTTGAGTAAAAAAAGAAGTAAAAAGTTTAATTTGGTATAGACATCTCTAATAGAAAAGCCCAAATTTAAATGAAAACAAACTCAAATTTAAAAACGGGTGAAATATGACCACTGAATCTTTAAAGAAGAATGAAATCTCGCTATTAAGGATTTGACTATGAATTTAAATTTCGCTTGATTTGAGTAAAAAAATAAGTTTCTCTTAATTTAATATAGGTATGGTCTAACATTGAAGAATATTTTTAAGAGTTTACCTAAATTTAAATTTGGATTTTAAAAGGTTAAGGACTAGAAATGCTCTTATAGATCAACAAATATGTCCTATGAAGAAAATAATGACGTGGTGCATTATTCAATGTTGTTTATGATCTGATTAAAATTCGAATGTCATTGATCATTTATGAATTGATATTTTTCAATGAGAATTTGAATCCAAATTACTGATATAAAAATACGTATCCAATTCAAACTACTGATATCTATACATCTATTTATATATCCTATTTAAATATAGTTAATTGTATGAGCTCTAAATCTTATATACTAATTTTTAAAATTATTTTTTACAAAAAATATATTTTAATTTACACATGGCAGTATCTCTCACTCTACTTCAAACTCCCTAGTACTCTTATCTACCTTTTGTCATCAAGTACTAAATTTTGTATAATGTTGAATTATTCAAAACATTCCACGTAGCTTATATAACTACTATCACAAAAATATTTTAAATTTGAATTATTTATCCTCCTTAGCACAATAATGAGTAATTGCTCAATAATACTAAGAGTAGCGGTGGGGATGAGTGGGGTGGAGTTGGGGGTGAGGGTGACAACACGGTTGAATTGTAATGAGACTGGAAAAAGATTAAAAATACCATTTATCGCATGAGGCGTTGTTAGTACATGATATATAGCAATGTAGTTGGCTTAAATGAGCTCCAAAATCTTAAACTATTTTTTTTTGAATATATTATTTTAAAATTATCAAATTTGGTTTGACTTTATTTCATTAGCCCTTTTTTGAATAACTAAATTCTTACTTAATAACATAATTCATAAAATTTCTCAATTGTCCCAAATTTCTCTTCCATCATCTCCCCCTTTTCCCGTCTCTCTCTCACACACATATTCTCTCTTCTCTAAATCTATATTTATTACATACTGTAGCAATCAATTTAGGCAAGAAATGGTGCTTATGAAATTTTTTCTATTCATGTACTTAGATTTGTTAATTTTAAATTATTTAATAACAATGTATCGATCTCATCAAATTAAATCATTCTATATGGCTTATGTAACTATTCCCACACAATTACTTTATTTCGTTCTTCTTAATTCAACAATGAGGGGTAATTTTCCAAAAACAATAGGGTCGGGGTTGGGGGGAGGTGGCAATGGATAGTGAAGGTGAGTGGGAGGGTGGGGTTGGCAGTAACGATATTAAAATTGTGTTGGAAGAGATTGAAAATACCGTGCTTCGCATGAGACGCCGCTAGTAAAGATATGTTACAAAGTTAAGTGACTATTTGACTAAATCCAGTTGAAATTGGAATATAATTTGCTCAAATTAAGTTTAATTGAGTAATTGGTATTGAATCAAAATTTTTCATCACATTTCAATTCAATCCAGATGTGAACTAAAAATCTAAGGGATATTTGGATTTAATTTGAGTCGTTATATAAATCGAATTGAAACTAGGCGAAATTCAACTCAAATTCAATCCACAAGCACAAATATATTCACAATTTGTGTTTCAATCATCACATTTGATGAATCTCTTGTAGATGTAATAATAATAGTGATCTATCGATGCATATCAAAAATTCAGATTTGACGCCACAAGACAAGAGCTATGAGACCCCCAAATTGAATCACCCTTCCTTTGTTATTTAGGTTTATGATAGAGCATAAAATGTTATATATATATATATATATATAATTTTTAAAGGTCAAGTTATAATTCAAAAAAGTTATGATCGCCTTGTAATAATCCCAATTATATTTTTCTTATTAGGGATAACCTCTGTTTGAAAGCATGGTACAACTTGAATAATTTTGAGAAGGATGTTGATGGCCGTTAGATGTTTTTATTTGATACCTTCCAATGAACTTTTTAAAATCTATCTTGTTTTATATTATAGATATCAAAAAGCGCTATTGTGTTCAATTAGATGTAATTTGTCCATTAAAAATTATAATTTAACTTTCAGAAATTGTAATTTTAAGAACGGCACCGAAAAAAAAATTTCATACCATAGAGTAACCTTGTATTTAAATGGTCCAGTGAATAGAGAAGAAAACGGTAACGATCCCATGTTAGTACAAAAATTCTTCCTTAATTCATTCGAGCAATGCATCAATCCCAACAGCACAAAGGCTGATATAGGAAAACAAATGGCTTTACATCCCCTTCGGTACTTTTTGTTGGGATAATTACACTTAGACCCTTAAAATTTATTATTTAATTACTCAGACTCTTAATATTAAAATTATTACACACAAACTCTCTAAAGTTTGTACGCAATGTGTAGACTTCTGCCATTAAATATCCGTTTGTATATTCGTTACTAAATTACACTCAGACTCCCTAAAATTTGTAGGCGTATAATAGTTAGACCTCTTAATTTTAAAATGTTATATTTAGACAAAAAATACTTCAATAAAAGAAAGAATATCAAATATTTTAAATTTTAAAACCAGAATTCATGTTCTATTGTATCATTTCTCGAAATAAAATAAAAAATTAAAAGCCATTTTTTTCTTAAAAAATCGTAATTAGTATAAAATTATACTATTTATTGAAATAAAACTAAAAAATCAAATAAGGGGTTTAAGTCATTCATAATAGAATATGAATTTTACAATCAAAATTTATGTTCTATTTTGTCATTTATTGAAATAAAATTAAAAAAAAATCTATTTTTTTCTTAAAAATCATAATTAGTATACAATTATACTATCTATTAGAATAAAATTAAAAAATCAAATAAGAGGTTGAACTATAATGGGCACAATATATTTTACCTTTAATTGAGGTAATTTGGGGTTTAATTTGATCATTTAAATAACCAAATTAAATTTTAATAGATAGTATAATTATATACTAATTATAACCTTTTAAGAAAAAATTAGTTTTTTATTTTTAATTTTATTTCAATAAATGTTATAATATAAAATTAATTTTGGTTGTAAAATTTAAAATATTTGATATTCTATATTTGATTGGAGTATTTTTGGTCTAAGTATAGCATTTAAAACTTCAGAAGTCTAAATATTACACGCCTACATAGTTTAGAAAGCCTGGATGTAATTTACTAACGGATATATTAACGGACTCTGATAGCAGGGGTTCAAGTGTTATGTGTATAAATCTTGGAGGGTCTGTATGTAATATTTCAAAAGTGAAGGAGTTTGAGTGATTAAG